ACCTGAAATGAGCGTGATCTAGAAACACAGTTAAGCAGTGAGTACAGTATGTTATTCTTCTTTTCTCTAGTCCCTCAATTAAACAACTTTTATACACGAGGGGAGGAGTCAGCCGGCCGTCCTGACGATGTAAACAAAGTGAAGATAGGACTCTGAAAACTCTGAAAACATCACAGACAGTGGGACTCGGGTGTTACACCCATTGTAGACAGTCATGACTCACAGAGTTATTTTCAGAGGAGATACTTGATTTCTACATTTAAGTGTGAAAAATCATAAATAAAGACTTTAATAATCTCCATTATATGGTATAAACACGACTTCATATTGAAGTGAGTCTGAAGTAAAGAAACAAACAAAGCATCTGTCTGAACACGTCTGAATGAGGAAACACTCAGCGATACCTGGATAGGATAATCCCTTATGGAATTTCTGATTGTATAATAGACGAACCGCCTCAGCCTGTACCTGCTGTCAGGTCCCAAACATTTAAACATTTAAAGACGGCCTGCAGAGGAATCACATTTTCAAAAACTGCTAAAAAAAGAAAGCTTTCAAAAAGTGCTGTCATTTTTAAAGCAGAGCAGAGTCTTTGTGAAGACGAGCACCTGCAGTGTCGGGGAGGTCAGGACTGTGTGTAACAATCAGCGTGTAACAAACACACACTCAGTGTACTTCAGTGTGTGCATGTTTTAAAATGTAAGGAATCTCTTTCCCCTCCTCACATACCTGCCTCACATTCCTCACAGCCGGTTCTCCCAGGAGCTCTGAGGGGCTGAGCCAGGTCTGAGCCGAGCTGCAGGTCTGAGGCTGGACCAGGAGGATTTTGTATTCCCCCCCCCACGCACTGAGACAAGCATGTTACACAATCAGCCAAAAGAACAGCCCCTCACTCTCTATGATTTACTGCTCGGTGAACTTGGAGACTTTGATGTTTAGTGAATGTTTTTAACTTACTGAACGTCGGGTTTACAGAGTTCACTAAGGGAGTGATAAAAGATAAACATGAAGGATCACAGGATGTCAAATCAAACTAATGCTGCAGACGTCGGTTTCTTTTTTGGCTCAATTTAAATGATTTTCTCTCAGATTTGGTCGTGTTGTGAGCAGACTTTAGACTTCTGAACAAACCCAGAAAGAGTTCTGAAGTAGTCGCTTTTCATGAAGGTAAGATCATCGTTTCACTTCACTTCCAACTGTCTGCATAACATCAAAACCTGGATATACCCCCCCCCCTCATTTTCTAAGCAATAAAACTGACCTCATGGGTTGGAAGATCTCCTATTGGATGTAGACGGCCGCTCCAGGTCAGCAACCTGTGCGTCATCATCCTCTGAAACATCTCCTGACTCCGCCCATCACTCTCTGACTTTGTGGCAGAAAATCCAACTCATGCCTTCATCACTTCCTGTCTAGACCATTGCATTGGAGTCCTGTCTGGGGGGTACCCACCAAAGTCCTGGACCGGCTCCAGTATGTGCAAAACTCCACAGGCAGGGTCCTCACCCATACCAAGCCCTGGAGGCACATCACCCCAAACCCTCTTCCACCTCCGCTGCCAAGTCAATCCTGCATCAACTATAAAGTTACAGATCCCTCCACGCCCTCGCCCCTCAGTACCTCTCCGACCTCCTGCACCCGAGACACTGTACCTGCTCTCCATCCCCCCCTACCTGACTCTGCACCTGCAGCGTCAAAGCCCCCACCCGCCTCTGGCACACCCTCCCTTCAAACATCCGATAACCACACTGCCTTTGATCAGGTAACCTGAGACGGATCTGAAGAACCAGAACAGGACAGTCTGTTTCAGATTCTAGTGTCATGTGTCTTGTGACCGGCCTTCTGATCATCTCTCTGACTGAGAGAAGGGATGAGTTCCACAAAGGAAAACAATAAGAGGTGAAGGGACAGAGGTGGAGTCTGCAGAGAGTAACTCACACCCGGTAGTCATCCACATCACAGCTTCCATCCCTCTGAGTGAGCTTTAGAGGAATCACCTCATCCCTATGAACAGATATCTGCAGAGTGTGCAGGACAGAATCTACATACATCCATTATCTACAACGACAATCACGTTCCAGGTCGCCGAGGTCTGGAACCGATCCCAGCTGTCATTGGGAGCCAGCCAATCACAGCGCTGACGTATAGACTTACATCTCTTACCTCCAGCAAGTATTTTTACATTCAGTTGACAAGCCTGAATAAATGCTGTATTTAATTTTAAGTTTTTTAACCAGTAAGAATGTTAAGTTAAATCCTTAATGTATAAATCTCTTCTTATTCTTATTTTTTTTATATTTTAAGTGCTTATTTACTTTGTATCTATTCTTATATTGTTTTATTTGCTCTGATAACCTGCTGCTGTAACACCACAATTTACCAGTTTGGGATCAATAAAGTCATTCTATTCTATTCTATACGGACATTTTAGAGTCACCAGTTAACCTAACCAGCATGTCTTTGGACTGTGGGAGGAAGCTGGAGTACCCGGAGAGAACCCACACATGCATGGGGAGAACATGCAGACTCCACACAGAGAGACTCCTGTCAGACGGGGATTCAAACCAGGAACCTCTTCGCTGTGAGGAGACAGAAACAGCACTAACCACTTTTTGTTTTCGACCTATTGATGTTGCGTCAATAACCAAACTGTCAAACAAAATGACTCTTGGCAAGCCGTTCTGCTCCTTCTATATTTTGACTTTATTTACATAGTTTTCATATTCACCTTTGTTTAAATACATATTTGTTCATTCATTAATTCCTTTGTATACTTTAGACCTTTATTTTCTCATGTTTTTGACAGTTTTCTTTGGCATTTCTACAATTTGCAACTCGGGTAAAAAAAACATCTAAAATGTCAGATTTTTTAAAACATCCAAAACCAAGACATCGTCGTGTTCCCTGTCAGGATTGTCAACCTGATCGCTTTCTGATCAGTTCATAATAAAGATGCAGAGGATGGAATCTAGAGATGACATGTCTCAGCCTCGTCTCTGGACACAGGGATGTCTTCACTTTCATATTCTTCTGCGTCATTTTGTTTTGGTGCAGATTTGAGAAAAAACAGACGTCACCATGCACCATGTGACATCAACGGAACGCAGGACAAACCTTCTCTGCAGCATTGTTCTGTGGTTCAGGATGCATGCATGCAAGGATTTCATGCATCATCTCGTCTCCAGACATTTTGTGTTATTCAAGACTCAACATGAGATTTAGAGGAAATATTCTGTGTTGTTCTCCTTCTGTACAGACAGAGAAGCAGAACTCCTGCCTCTCTCTCATCACATCCAGGGTTTGAATCCATGTAACCGTCTAATGAACAAGCTCTCAGTGAAAGTCTCTGAGAAGAAGTTTGTGTGTTTACAATCTCTGAGTCAAGAGTCTGACAGTGTGGCCTTAAAAACATCCTGCTGCTGTAAGAAATCGAGCAGAAACAATCGATATCCAGAGACTTAAAGTATGATGTAATGATCTGAGCTGTGTTTGGTTCAGTGTGAGGATGCAGACGTTGTTATTATTCTCCTGCAGATGTTTCCACTAAAACCTGCTCAAAGATCATCTATTATTCATAGGCATCATGATGACCCCCCCCCCCTCTTTAAGGCTCATATTACAAGAGCAGCTCTTTAACAAACAATCAATAAGTCAGTGTGATGTTTGGACTCCAATAATAAAAATAGTAATCGTAGATACATCACATTTTTACTTATGTTGTAGTCTGAGTCTTCATGACTTTATGGCCTTTAGGGACAAAAAGGTTTAGGAAGCACCAGCTGCCAGGTCGTTTTGTGACCACAGGTAGGTCTTCTGCAGTCAGGGCGTTTAGGAAACTGATTTGGGCCGCTTGTATCTGCAATCTCTTTCTCTCAGTCACTACCAAAAGCTCAGCACAGGTGAGGGTTGGAACGTAGATCGAGCTTTACCTTCAGATTCAGGTCTCTCTTCACCATGACCGTACCACACAGTCTGCCTGTCTGTTTTTTTACCCTCTCTCGTGAGCAAGACCCCGAGAGACTTTAAAAAAGACCCTAACTAAAGACTAACTCACTTATTAAAAGTCTCTGGGGGGGGGGTTAGACACAGAGATGATTCTGACCTCCATGAGTTGAAACCGACTGAAACCGTTCCATTTTCAAAACTTTGCACTCTTTCAAAACCAGTAGGGGGGCCTGCTAAAGCGTTGCATGCATGATCCCTGTGAGAAGCAAAGTTTGTCAATGAGAGTCAACACAGAAAGATGAAGAGGAATAATCCGTCTATAGAAGAGAACAAATATACAGGACAAAATAAATGACGGTCATGAACCCCGGTTGGAGGGACCCCCAGTTAGATTTTTGAGAAGGGGCCCCAACAGACTCTTAAAATGTCCTCTGAGTCAAATGTTTGAAAACTGCCTGATTTGACCTTTAACTTAAAGAGACTAAACTTTCTTTAGACAGCCACACACACACACACACACACACACACACACACACACACACACACACACACACACACACACACACGCACACACACACACACACGCACGCACGCACACGCACGCACAACACACACACACACGCACGCACGCACACACAGACACACTCACACACACGCACGCACGCACGCACACTCACACACAGACACACACACACACACACACACACACACACACACACACACGCACGCAGCGGGCCTGCTGGGAGTTCAACAGCTCATGAATCAATAAATCAATGCGGAGCAGGAAACAGATATCGGCTCAGAGTATTCAGGCTCCATCAGACAGCTGCCTCACTCTGACAACATCAACACAATGACAGGCTCCTGGTTGACAATTAACTGCAACCTATTGAGCAACACGAGCAACACGAGCAACATCTGCTGCAATAACAGCAACAACATGCAGGGCACACGAGTTCATTCAAAGTTGTTGATCATCACGCACTCTCTCCTCATCATATTTATTAACATTTTCAATATGCAGAGATGAACCCACACATTGCAGTGACGTTTACCTCTCAGTGGCTCTCTAACGTCGTGTCTGCAGGGGTCTGCTCTCCATCTTCTACTGTCACGTCGACTAGATCCCTCCACGTGCATCACGGCATCAACGACATCCTTTAATAATTAGCCTCCCGATCCCGATCCGTCCTCCAGCTCCCGTCAGAGTCCAAATCCGTCCGCGGGCATCACCGGTTTGTTCCCTGAGAGTCTGGAGTCAGAGAGATGCTGCTGCCGCTGCTCAGACGCCACCGCCGGTGCTCCGTTACAGCTCATTGGTTGGCAGCACCCCCCCCCCCGCGACCCAATAAAACTGGGTGTTCTCGCGTCAGATGCTCTGCCCCCCTCCCCCCTCCCTCCAAGCGGTGCGGTGAACCCAAAACATCAAAGGGAAAGCCTCGTGATGCGCAGGGGAGAGAGTCATCATTGTGTGAAGAATAAAACGTGTTAAAGAGGAGGGGACAGAACAGAGCAGAGAGGGTCAATGCATAAACAGATGGATGAAGAACCCCCCCCCCCTCTACACAGGTAGCTGCGTCACAATGAGGGGAGAAAGAACCATGATTCAGCAGGGGTCACTTAAGGTCATGTCCTCAGGTTTGTTTGGGGGAATAGGTGGATATGGAAACTTCTCCATCATAATATTTCTATATTTTTTATTTCTATATTGTGCTTAAGAGTAACTGTAACGACCACATCCCCCTGACATTAAGCAAATATTTCTGATTGATTAAATATGACAGGTGTTAGTTATTTAAGGAGTTTTTTTTTAATGTTTGGAAGTTGCAGATTTGTGCACAAAAATGTTCAAGCATCATTATAGCACGGAGACCAAAGTATCACTGATTTTAAAGAATCCTGCAGCCTGAATGAAATCCTTTAAAACAGCTAAATAATGAGCTTCTTCTCTGCAGCTTTAAGAGAAAATATAAAGCTTCTTAAAACGTGCACATCATGCATTTTATTCTTGTACTCACAGTGGCGATATTTAAAAAATGAAGGTGCTGATTTGTGTTGAGTGAAAGGGTCACATTGTTGTTAAATACGGAAGCCCTTAGAGGACAAACATGTATACATTTTATTTTTGTTACAAAGAAGAAGAACGGACACGAAACAGTTTTTGAGTATATTTCACTGTATATTTGTTGGATACTGTCTGGAGGTCCGAGGTGTGAGAGCTGGTTTCTGGTGTCTTGTTCTTCAGTATTGTCACGTCTCAGAGGCGAGGGCGTGGAGCTCGGCGTGGAGCTCGGCGTGGGATGCTGCAGATTATAAAGGCGTGGAAATCACGGCGGGTGAACAGATGAGAGGAAGACTGAGCCGGCGTTTATACTGAGGAGTGTGCAGGTAGCTTGATTGCAGATCCGCAGCAGGTGTGCAGACTTGATTGACGGCAAGGTTTGTGGATATACACACACACACACACACACACACACACACACACACACACACACACACACACACACAGAGGGAAAATAGCCTCAGATCCTCACAGTTTCCTCCATTTCTGTCTTGATTATAGATAAAAATTGGTAATCTTGTTTATTTCCTCTTCCTATCTAACTTGTTTTCTCTTTATTACGAGTTGATTCAGTTGTTTTCTAGAGATCTTTGAGAAATGAACTCGTTAACCCGGGTAACCAGTACCCTGAGATCGATGTATAAGTCGAGATCTGGAGAAGAGTGCATGCATGTATGACCACATAGGGCTTTCATACTCTTTCAACATGACCATTCAAAGTCAGACTGAGCGGGATGTGTTATACGAGGTTTAAGGTGACTGCATGATGCTTTGTCCGTTTTTGTGGAACCCACCTGAAGCAGTTAGCGCATGGTCTTTCCACCAAAACAAACTCACTGACCCCTCACTCGATCACTTCTGCCATATGGTGCATTCCCCTTTCCGGCAAGATTCTGTGGTTTGTAAATTCGTCTCAAGCTTTGCAAAAGTGTTTCACTCTTTGTAAGTATGGTTTGCACTTCCCAGCCACCGTACTTTAAGGTATTGCTTTTTCCATGTGCATGTCTCCATTTCCAGGTTTTCTGTCATCCATCCTCAGTCGGCAGACTCTCGTCCTCCATGTATCTGTGCCAGCCTCCCCTTTCCTGTCCCCTGGTGGACAAAGGCTGAACTGCAGCTCACTGTTACTGTTCTGCTGTCACTTTGTGTCATGCGAAGTGGCGTGTGTGTGTGTGTGTGTGTGTGTGTGTGTGTGTGTGTGTGTGTGTGTGTGTGTGTGTGTGTGTGTGTGTGTGTGTGTGTGTGTGTGTGTGTGTGTGTGTGTGTGCATCTAAATTCTTCAAATAGTGTGTGAGATGACAAGTCTGATCCATGTGGGCTCAATGTGTTTTCTCAGTATGAGGGAGGGAGTCAGTCTGCAAAGTGAGTACTACACACACACACACACACACACACACACACACACATTTTCTGTGGATGCACAAATTGGATAATGAAGTCAATTAAAGCAATAAAATCCTTATCGCTGCTACTGAAAAAAGAATGATTTCTTCTCCTGCTGGTGCTGGCAGTGCCTACATGTCCCAGAATGCATTGCCCATGAGCAGGCACAAACATACCTAAACTACAGACAATATTTTTGTCTGTATGTGTTTGCATTACAGCTGACCCCTGGACACAAATTCTGCATTTATCAAGCTCACTGAGTTCAAACATACATGTGATGTAATAATTAAAAAGCAAAAAGTGTAAATTGAAGCAGCGATAAGTTTAGGAACTCTTTCTTTGCAGATATGATCACAAAGCTGCAGCTGAATGAAAAGGAAGGCCGGGTAACCATGAAGTAGAATCGGCTATGTGAGGCTTCATTCTAGAGGAAATCAGTGGATTCTGTCTGCGTGCGTTCTGTCCCGTGTGCATGCGAGGACGATGAGTGACGTTACATTTCTGCATATCTGCACTCAGCCCTCTCTGCCGTGTTTGTTTGAACGTGTCATGATTGTGTGTGACGTGCCGGCTGCAGTCAGGACGTCTCGGCTGGCGGTTAATATTAGCTCATATCCCCGCTGCAGATGCTGATGTATAGTGATCAAAACGTTCATCGCTGGAGCAGCACACACAGCGCCGCCTGTCAGGGGGCCTGCACAGCGCTCCACTCTCTCACTGCCTCCACCCAGCAGGCCTGCAGGTGGCTCCCTCATTACTAACATGTGTTACACTTGTCTTTTTTTTTTTTTTTTAAACTTCAATCCTGCTAATTCACCAAAAAGTTCCACTGTCAGCCTCTTCGACGCGCTCTGTTTGTGGACTCACTCACTCACTCACCCGTTGAATGATTGGAGAATTACATCACCGCTCCTGATGGCGATGAAGACGATGACATGGAGTTGGAGAGAGTACAAAGAATGAGACGAGGCGATCAAACAAATCACTTGAAACATGACTCCACATAACAGTGATACTGTACCTCCGTTATTAAAACAGGCCCCCCTCTCAATCCTCCACCTGGATCACATTTGAGCAAAAAATGCATCTGCTCGGCTACCGTACAGTCTGTGTTCATATTTTTTTTACAGCAGACAGAAACAAGAACAAGAAGAGGAACTGCGTGACCTCAGAAGCAGTTTTGGAAAACGATAACCTTCTAGAGAACAGGGCGAGGGGGGAAAGTGGCTGAGGAACATTCAGTTACTGATCAGTTTAGAGGTCATGAGGAGTCGGGTCACAAAGGGAAGGGAGGGAAACTCAGAGTGAATATGAATGGTTTTTTTAAGTTTTGTGTTTTTGTGTTTGTGCATGCAAGATGAACCCTTTTTGTATCGTGATTAAAAGAAACCAGATTTGTCTACCTGGAGAACTCTAAAAGAAAACCTAATACTGTGGCATGTATACTCCTCATACCCTGGTTTCAGGCAGCTACCTGCGAGACGTAGCAACAAAACAAAACATGAAAACAAGAGCGTCTTACTTCTGCAGCGATGAAGAAACTGAGTTTGTCTTTTTTAAGGATCAAATGTAATAGCTCCCTTGTCCTATGTGATGGCAGTGACAGGCTGACAGCAGTCAGACTGGAGGACATGTTTTATATTTGCTGCTCTCATTTCTCCTGTTGCTGGAAATGAGGTGGAGACGCCATATCTGCGACGCCATGTTGGCATTTAGTAGTGCTAAGCTCGCCCGCAATAAGCCAAACTAGTTTCATTGTTGTCAGATTTCTAAATTGACTCGGTTTGTGTTGGAAAATTAAACATCCCAGACGCCTGCACAGGATACTAGGATTACTAGTATTTATGATGTATGCAGGATCAATTCTAATTTTTGTCTTTGTGCTAAGCTAGGCTAATGCCTCATCCAATTCAGAAACTTAAATATGAGCAATCAAGAGGTCAAATCAAGCTTGAGGGTTGAATGTGAACGGGCACGGTTCAACGTTGCTCTCCCTCTGTCCCCTCCTCACTCTCTCCCTCTCCCGTCATTTCCTGCATGCCTCTTTAGATTTCTTCTGATGTGACAGGATGAGATCCTCCACGTCACAACAGACTCACAACACAAACGATGAGAGGAACTCTACAGATGAAGAGTGTTTCCTCGGGGAGTGTGAGGCGTCAGCAGAGGTTTCACGAGGGCTTCAGTCTGAGTGCAGAGACAAAAGAAAACCTTCTCCTCCTTCAGATTTTAAAAAGCAGGTTCAGTCCAACTGACAGACAAACAATCGTTCTGTATCATCATGGCGTGCTTTCAATCCCGAGTCGGCGCTCTCTCCTCTGCCAGTGGCTGCTCTCTGTCATGGGAACGTGTCATTACAGCCGATCAGATCAAAACAAATGTTGGAGAAGTGCAGCGTCAGAGCTTTTTTCATGGACGCCTGGCAGAACCTCGAGGCTCGGTTTACTTTATCATGCTGCTCTCTGGAATCATCTGTGCTTGTGCAGCAGAGCGTGAATACAGTCTGGATCGCATAAAGGACGGCCTCTTAAAGTTTACACAGTCACTTTGACAAGAACAGGGTGTAACTGAGGTGATGTCCTTGTCTTTCTTTTCTGGGAATTTGGGGGATTTCTGCAGACTGGGCGGAGTTGGGAGTTTAAAAAGCTGCACATTGAGGATATTTCTGTGGCTCATTCAAAATGATTTGCCTTCTTTTACCAATTGGATCAGAGTAAAGGTTATATCATCTGCCCAGGTAATACTCTAAACTGGAACACTCTGAGTTTTGTTTCCCTTCTCTGTGTGTCGTAATATCAGTTTGAATTTTGTAGAAAAAGTGGCAGCCATGTGATGTG